ATTCTGGGAGTTGAAGTCCACTCATCTTAAAGTGGCCAAGTTTAGACAACACTGGCCTAGATGAAACAAATCCTGCTGGCATTCAAGAATGACCATGTCCAGGGTTACCAGATGTCTGGCAAAGGAGGACATGTTCTCCTTTTTGTCCTCATGTCCTCCATCCAGCAGGCACAGCCTTAAAATCAAATATTTGATTTTTGAGTATCTAACAAACTAACTCTTCCTGAGTGGTTTTTCTCCCTGGCATAGCACTTTCCTAATGAGTGTTGAATGCAAGTTAACAAGCTCAGTTCTGTGACCTTATTAGCACCCTCTCATCAGCTTGTGCTACTGCCTTAAATTGACAACACCTTAATCAGTTACATGCTGAAGGCTTTGCTTCCTAGCCGAGTCTACAGCATTCCTGTGAATGAAAAAAAAACAGTCTTTCTGATGCTGGAAAAAATAATTTCATATACATGTAGGCCTAAGGGCTTTTGGGGGGGGGGGCAGTTTTTCACTGTAATTTTTGTTGTGGATATGAAGAAAGTTAAACAGTGTGTCCTCCTTTCTCCCCCATTTGTCCTCCTTTCCAGTTGTCTGTGTCCTCCTTGGCCTATTCAGATTTCTGGTAACCCTAACCATGTCAGAAACAACATCTGGATTGGCAGAATTATTTGTGAATATAAATTGTTCACATATAATACTTTTTGGGGCAGTACTACTAGAAGTTAAAAAACCCCTGCCAAATATCTTTCTTTAGTTTTTGGTAAATATAAAAAACTCTTGCACTGTTTTGTTTTTGTTTTAGTATTATCCTCAGACCACAGTCAGGCTTACAGTTAGGGCAGCAGCTTAATTTATTAATGAGGTAAAAGCTTTCATCTGGTTCCTCTCAACTACATTGTGTCCTTATATCTTTAAAGAAGCAAAAGGAGCTCATCTTAAAGAACCAGGAGCTTTATTTAGTAGGGGCTTCTATGGGAAGATTCTCTTATTGGCTATCATGCTAAGAGCTTACTTACAAGCCTCTGGACCTGAATTAACTTTTGGAAGGTAGTACAAATAAGTTCAGTTAGCATGAGTATATTTTTATTGTGTGCAATAAAAAGCATTATGAAATATTGATTTCCATTCTGGGACTCAAGACTAGCTTTTCTGCCTAATGGTGAGGTTATTGCAGCCTTTATTGATTGCAACATTTTAAAGTCATGAGTTAGTCAAACGAAAATACTCTACTTTGCTTCCTTAACCACTGAACCATGTATTTTCCCTATATTTTCCACTCCTGTTCATACATCTGATAAAATATATTAGCAGCCACTTGACTGACCTTTCTATAAAAGCTTATTTGTGCCGTTGATGACAAATCAATATAATTTCATTAGTCCCTGGCACCCTGCAGTATTCTGAAGCGAAGCAGGCTATTCTAAGCTGTTTTCAGATCAGTGAAATGCTAACACACACTTCTTCAGAGTTGAATAGTTTCACACCAACTGAGGCCTCTCTTTGATGTGGCAATTTAAATGAGACCTATTTGAGGGAAAGCTTTCCTCTTCAGGGATAATTGATCTGAAATCCATGGTGCCCCTTGTAAAAATACCAGCATAGGTTAAAATCCTGCTTCCATATTTAAGGGCAAAAACCAACTGATTAGTTAAAACTATTATATTAATTTATATAATCAGATGGCTAAAATCTAGCAAGTGAATTTTTCAGGCCTGCTATCTGGGGAAATATTAATATAAAATTTCATCAATTTGCTTATATTCTTACAATCACTAACATGGTACAGGTAGCACACCACTATTTAAACATAGTTCTTAGGAATAGTAGAATCTCCTTAACTGTGCTTTAATTTGCATGATTGGTAGTAAAACTCATTACTGACGTTTTGTAGTAATTTTATTAAAAGTCAGGTTAAGGAAGACAGATTATATGTAAGCAGTGGCCTTGCAGAATTAATTTTTGAAAAACTGAAGTCAAGCAGTGCTCATGTTTTGCTTGAAATAAATACCACTTAAATAGTCATTCTGAAATAAAGATGAATAGCATTCGGGTATGTCTTTCCTTTATTATATGACATCATAAATTTAATGAAGGTTTTAAAAAAAGTTATTAAGGATTCAGGAAGAATTTCGTCACAGGAACTTAGTTCTACCCACTTATAAAGACAGATCAAATTATTTTAGTTAGTTGTCAGCCTCGCTATTTTATAGAGTCTACCGTATGTACTGTTGGAGACTTCAGCTTCACACATCTGTAAAAACCAAAAACAATACATTTGAAAATTGTAATATGTACATCAATTAAAACGTATATTTTAAAAGGATTAAACTCAAAACCAAGCTAATTTCTGTTGAATGTTGAAGGAAAATTAGATCTGTGATTGATAACATTTCATTGGATTTGTACAATTTAAGTATATAGCATATGTAAAGCTTATCAATGAAATGTGGAATATGTATGTAGAAGTTTCCAAAGAACCTTAAAAAAAAGCCCAAGCTTTCAGCTTAAGACAATTGGGCTTTTAGTTGTTAACTTCCCAAAACAGTGACCATCAACTTGTTTCACAGTAGCATTTATGGGGCCGATGATGCTCATTTCAGACAGACATATAATTTTATTTCTCAGTGGTTGATTATTCAGCATTGATAACCTTAATGCGTGACTAAATGTATGTTCCTTCCCCCTTGAAAAATTGCAGTGAAAAGAAATCTAAATCTATAATACTGAATTTGTGCTGTCCTTTCCATAAATTTAACTAGCCATTTGATATTGCAGTTGTACAATGAGGCTAACGTGTATGTAGAATGAATCTGAAAATAAGAGTTATGACTTAGCTAACATTTCCAAAACATGCTTTCCAACATTTCCAAAATGTATGCTTTCCAAGGGGTATGCTCTATGTTAACTTTATAACACTGAAGGGGGTCACCAGAATTAGTGTGTTATTACAATGGGAACTTCTGAGACAGAATGTTGATATGAAATGTATTTTCCATAAAAGGGATTTCTTTTGTATAATCTATACATATGCCCACAACTTGAAAATACGTATGTATGTTTGCATGTGTATTTGTATATATATAGTTTTTGCTACATTCCAATGTTTATACTTTTAAATCACACAGTTAAACAGCAAAGCTCCCTAGAGAATTAGGATACAACATTATCATCAGGCATGTTTGATATGAACTCTGGACAATATTCTTGACTTTCATAAAACTTGCCCAAATATTTGGTGGAGTCATTGAGCCTTGTTTACTCCAATCAGATTAAAATTATATTTAACCTTTTTCTGTAAAAACTTGGGAGACAGACATGGATGCTATCTTTGCAGTCACTGCAGTTTTCTATAAGCTGTATTATGTAAAGAGGCAGATGAACTTGTAGCCTCCATTCCTCTACTTCTACTCTCGTTGCCTTTTACATGTGGAATGGGAATAAGAGCAGGAGATAGAGATAAAATCATGTAGCTTTTTCCTGTGATTTAGAATCTTGATTTTTCATGTTTCTATAAATCACTGGGAGAGTCTCCATGGATAGACACCCAGCATGAGCAAAAGGCAAAGAAAATAGAGGAGGCAGTATTGATATGTTTGCCCTAATCTCCTCTCCCTGCATGCAAAATTTGCTCAACATTATAATGACTGAAGAGGGCGTATGTCTCCTTGCAATGCAGTAAGGACACTCATGATTTTGAGATGCATTTCTTTTATAGAAATCCTTTATACATCACTTGCTGTACTAATAAGCTTCTGCTCTTCTGAAACATTTGAACAAATACAGTATGTGTGTGTGTGTGCTTGTGTTTCTGAACACACTGTTTTCTATTAGTTATATATTTGATGTTATCTTTTAAAGGCATATTTATCTTTGAAGGATTCCTCAAAGTTTAGATTTCTCACTTTCTTGGGTCACAAACACTTTTTATTTAAGGTAGCTAAGAGACCTGGGAAATTAAATATGCTATTAAATAATTTTCTCTTAAATGGATATTCAGTTGAGTTCTTTATTTTTG